TTATGGTCATGAAATGCAGCATAAAAACACGCTTCCAAACAATGATTTTTCAAATTAGCACTTATTTCTATAGTTATTTAGATCTAAGAGAAACAGTTATTCATCATTGTATTTATTCAATGAATTATTGATTAGTTTTTGAATATAAATGAAAATGAATCTTTTATTTTAGTACAAATATTAATCCGAACAGATTTTTTTAAAGTAACTTATAGATTGTTTTTCATAATTTAAAATACCGAAATATCTTTTTGCTTGCAATTGAAGCGCCAGAAAAATATATTAAAGGAGCACCAGTGTCTGATCTGCTTCAAAGGAATAAAGCCTTATTACGATATGGTTGTATTCCGATTTAAATTTAAGGCACGGAGTACGGAGCCCGAAGGGCTATCTGTTCCTTCATCGAAACTGAATAAGGATAAGGGTAATATAGCTCGAACTGTATTAAATATCTGGGCACCTGAGGCTACTTGCGGCCCTTTCCCCCGTTCACCTTTAACTTGAACGTTGTGGTGGTGAAATACAAATGAATTAAAAGATTATTCATGTGGATAATTGAGCTCTGACTGAGTAGTTATATGCAGTAGACCATGTATAAGACCATAATGTAAAAATATGATATATAACTTGAGCTAAGCTGGTACGGTGAAAATGAGGTTATGCATATGCTATTGAATATGATGCATCACTGCAATAGTATGCTGCGATTGGTCTGATGCTCTTGTCTTCAGTTAAAGTTTCATATAGGAATATTTCATTGAAATTTGCTGCAGAGCAAAGAGGTGGCTTTTTCATAGAATTTGATATTTAATTTAGCTATATGTGTGTTTATTGCATCTATTTTCAGGCTGTGTTGTATTGTGTCGTTTCTTACGAGTCATCTGGCTTTTGCTATCCTTCTTGGTATTTTATTCTGGCAGACTATTAATTTGTTCAGCTTAGTTTGTGTTATATTTGTCAATACTAGTGAAGCACATGTAAGGATGGGGCGTATAATGGATAAATAGAATAATGTTTTAGTGTCATGTTTGATTGATAGAGTAGTACCTAGAGAGTTTAACTGCATGCTGCTTGTGCTTTACTGATTATGCTTTTGATGTGATCATTCCAGTTGAATTTCTCATTAAGGTTGAGTTCAAGGTATTTGGCTGTATCAACTATTTTGTTAGCATTGAGTTCAAGGTATTTGGCTATTATCAACCCCTGTTGGCATTGTTTCATTGAATAGAATTAACTTGCTCTGTGGTGGCATCTTTTTATTTAGAATGATTAGGAGTTGTGATTTTTAGCCGTTTACTTGAAATTTCTTCTCCAGGCACCACTTTTCTATGCCTTGTAATTTACTGAGGGTAATATGGCTGTAACAGACTGATATTCTATAAAAAGATTTTAATTATTTATTTGGTGTGATCGGTAGTACCATTTAAAATCAAAATTATTAAACTAAGAATAATACATTAAAACTTAAATTTTGCTTCCATTATATATACAGTGTGTGCAGCTTCTTTAAAAAGTGCTTAACGGTGCTTTTTTTCATTGGGTGCTTTTAAAAAGTGCTTAATTTTCCCGTTTTCAAACTGAGATTTTCTTTACTATGTTGATTTTCTCTTCAGATTATGCAAAAAGTCACCGTTCACTTTGTTCTATTCAACGTTTTCATAATTAATTCAACCCCACTCTATTTCAGTGTATTGTCGTCAGTTCGTAGCGTATGAAAACGACATTCGTTTTACATGATTCAAAATTTCATGATTTTTTGACAATTGTCAAAAACAATGCCAAAAGTTTTTTCTTTTTGACATGACGGTTAAAACAAGGTAAAAAGCGTCAATTATCAAAGCATTCCAATTCCGTCTGATTATGATATTTTTTTAAAGTGTTTAAAAATATTTTTTGAGTCCTTCAAAAGTGCTTAAAAGGAGATTAAGTTTTTGTTCAATTATTTGGCTGCGTACCCTGATATATATAAAGAAATGTGCACAAAACGGTGCTATTTTACCTTTCTGGTGTAAAACTGAAATTGAGTTGGTTTCGAAGTTAAATGCCCCTAATGTTACAAAAGAAAAAAAAAATTCTCGATTTCCAAGAACTAACTGAAGAAACTATTAATATTTTCTTATTACTACTTTTGTGAGTGCGTTATGTATTTTTTTTGTTGACGTAATTTTTGACTATACTTTTGCCTTGTTATGATAATTATTTTCTCAACAACATATTAAAAAAAAGCTCAAATTACTCAATAAATTTCAAATTTGGAAAAGCCGACAATCATTTTATTTATGTGTGTGAATAAAAATTTATCTACATTTATATTGTCATATTAAGCGAATGAAACTTTGGCTTTTGAATACTTGTTAATTTATTCAAATAGGCAATGTAAAAGGTATTTGATGTAAATTGTACTATCAATTTTCTCACAATATTATTAAAAAAATATACAGTGGAATTGAAAAAGGTTAAAGTCTCGTTTTGAAACCATAAAAGCTTATAGTATAAAGCTCGTCGCACCTCCAATTACAAGTCAGTACAATTATATTTGAAAATAAAATTTGTTTTGAGGGAAACATTGCTAATAATTTATTCAAATAAGCATAGTGAACATTTTTTTATGTAAATAAAATCGTTTTTCAGAACAATAGAAAAGGCTAGACAAAACAGAAGAAAGGAAATTTAATTATAATGCAAAAATGAAATTATACAAACAGGCAGATTATGAAGATTAATAGTTGTCTAAATACAATTATCTACATAACAATGCTACATAATAGAATAATAAAGAGATAATGATTTTTATAATTTTTTGTTAAATACAGTTATATAATTACAAATGTAAATGATGAGAGCAACGACACAACATGTTTATAGGAAAGATAAACAAATAGAATAAAAAAATTGATTCAAAATGTAGACAGGTATTCTACTTCAGATTTTCTCTACCTGTAAAAAGAAAATTAGAAAATGAATTTTATTTATAAACTAGTATTTTGAGAGAAATAAATTTTTGTACAATAGTGGATAAATAGAATTTCAGGAGAAAAAAGTTCTTAAACTTGCAATAACTTTCGAATAAATCAGCATTTCGAAGAAAAAAAAATTTCTTCATGCTCAAAGACTGATTGGAACATTTTTCATTAAATAAATACGGCCCTTTCATTACGAGAAATGTCAACTGTGTAGTTGGATTTCAGTGGTATGCAGATCGACCCACATAGTATTTTTTTAACTACAAGTTTAACAATATTTTCGAAGATTAAATTATGTATTTCTTCATACTTTTTGTAAATTTTTTGACACATTTTCGTAATTTCAAGTTCCTAAGTCTTTTATTTGCACTGTAAAACAAAGCAAAAAAGTCTTTAAAAAAATCTCAAAACGCTTTCCAACTTGCAATAACTTTCTAGCAAATTGGAATTAAAAAAATTTTTTTCGTTAATAAATAAGAATGGCCTTTTCAGCTCTGTAGTTACATTCCTGCAGCCTACCAAGAGATCCATTAGTTAATTTTTATTGCAAGTTAAGTATTCTCGAACTAATATTCGAATGTTAATTTTTCATTTTATTTCGTCATACTCTTTGTGCCTTTTCCTACAAACCTACGTAAGTGCAAGTTTCTTCATAACCTCATTTTTGATTTTAAATAATCCAGTAACATTAGAACTCTAAACACGTGGTTTCAGATGACTTTAAAATGCTAATTTGGCCACGTATGTCACTCAAAGGTTAATAGTTAACATTGTTCATTAAATTTTTTTGTTTTAGTTGTATGTATTTCGTTGTTCATAAATTTTTTTTTGTATACGATTTAAAGCGCACGCAATAAACTCTTTTCTGATCAAATAGAGCTATAAGCTTTAAAATATCACTGATGTTATCTTCAAAATATTTGCAAAATATAATCGTCAGTAGTTTTATTTAAAGCAATTTTTAACAATTGACCAATAAGAAAATTACATTTCACTTTCTGCTTATCCCGTGTGAACGGTAGAGTGTTCTAATGCTGACCTTTTTCGTGCTTCGAACTATTAGTATGCCAAATTTCACAGCTTTTGGGTGAATGGTTTAGGAGTCTATAAGGGACACGCAGATATGTATTAATTTTTTACATATACAAATATTACGGCATATACCGATAAATAGTAAAGCTTTCATTTCAAAGAGGAAAGTTTTATTTAATAGTTGAAAAATCTAATTGAATATTTGAGAAAAGGTTTATAACCGAATGAAATATTTATACTCAAATTTTGAATTTTTCTGCAGCTTTTCGTTGTTTATTGATACAACATACATTTGCAGGCTTATGTGCTCAAGGGGCCTCCCTGGCTGAGCGGTATCGTCGGTCCAAACGCTCTGTTAAGCGTGGAGGTAGCGGGTTCGAATCCCGCCGTAACCCTGGATGTATTCTTTGTGATGTCTTTCTCTGAATTGTTCTATCTGTATTTTCTATTTGACAATGACTTATAAGCCTATATATTGAGCACACAAGTCAGCAAATGTATGTAATTTCAATAAATCAATCAATAAATTATGTGCTCAATTAAGGCTTATAAGCCTTTGTCAAGTAGAAGGACAGATAGCACAATACAGAGAAGGATATCACAAAGAATACATCCAGGGTTACGGGGGATTCGAACCCGCCACCTCCACGCTTAACAGAGCGTTTGGCGGACGATACCGCTCGGCCAGGGAGGGGAGGCCCCCCTTTCGTTGCCCACTGCTAGAAAACTTCAAAAGAGTTTTTCTCAAATCTACAAAGTCGGCTGGGCTAATAACTTTAATAGAGCTTCATTGATTGGATTTGAATTTTTGATTTTTATTTTAATTTCAAATACATTCTTTATAGAAGAGCATAAAAAAAAGTTTATTTATTAACTATTTTTCTTTTTAGAATTTCAGCCAAACTTACAAAAACAGTCAGCTACAACTCACTGAGTAACGCTGCCATACATTGAAATCGAAAAAAACTTTTCTACTTCAATGATACGAGCCAAACTACAAATTTCTTATTTATTTCTATGAAAATTGCCTGCTAGTGGTGATTCTGTAACGATTCTGTATTGAAAATTGAAACAAACCTGTAATGGTTTTCTCTTGTAATGGACTTTCAAGAGTATTTTCATGGATTTAATATTAGCTTCCCACAGACCACCAAAGTTAGGAGATGCAGGCGGTGTAAAATGCCACTGAATTCCCTCTTCAGCATTAAAGTTCTGTACAGAGTTAGACTGGCAAAGTTCAAGCATTGAGTTCAAAACATTTCTCGCACCTTTGAAGTTAGATGCGTTATCACTCCAAATAATCGACGGTTTTGAACGTCTCGAAATGAATCTTCTCAAACAAGCTAAAAAAGCATCTGTTGTCAAGTCTGAGACAACCTCGAAGTGAGTAGCCTTAGTACTGAAGCAAATAAATATAGCGATGTAAGATTTAATTACAACCTTAGATCTCTTCAAATTAGGTTTTGTTAATATGGGACCAGCAAAGTCTAAACCAACTTTATCAAAGGGTCGTGATGGTACGATCCGATCTTTGGGCAAGTTACCCATCTTTTGATTAATAGTTTGTGTCTTAGTCTTGAAACAAGTCAAGCATTTATGTATGAATCTTCGGACTCTATCTTGTCCAGAAGGTATCCAGTAAAATTGTCTAATCAAATAAAGTGTTGTCTGAACTCCCGAGTGTAATGATTTGTTATGAAAGTGTTCGATGATTAATTGTGTAAGGTGATGAGATTTCGGTAAAAGCATTTGATATTTTTGTGATTCTGTTAACTCGGAGAATTTCAAGCGACCACCAACTCTCATAAGTCCATTGTCGTCCATAAACACATTCAATGATATGATTTTGCTATTTTGAGGAATTGGCTGTTTGTTTTTTAGGCATTTAATCTCAGAGCTAAACTCTATAGATTGCACACATTTTACTAACACCTGTGTAGCATTTTGTAGCTCGAATGTACTTAAATTATCCCTTTTTCTATTTGTATCTTTACAGTTTTTAAGAAATCTTAAGCAATAAGCTGTAATTCTAACCAACCTAGTGAAAGAGGAGTATCGATTAAGGAAATTGTTGATGTTTTCGTTTCTCTCTGCGACGTTTGTGTTTAAAGTTAAAACTTTCCGAATTTCTAGTGTCTCTGGATTTGCAATAAGTTCTTTGTGTGTTTCTAAAGATTTTGGCCACGACGATTCATCTTCTTTCAGCCACAGTGGACCCTGCCACCAAAAGTCGCTGTTTTCTAATTCTGAAACCGAAAGTCCACGTGATATTAAATCAGCTGGATTATCCGTTCCAGGACAGTGAAACCATTCTGAAGGATTACTGTGTTTGTGAATTTCCTGAATTCTGTTCTTTATGAAAATTTTAAACCTATCTGGTGAACCTCTTATCCAAAAGTACGTAATAGACGAATCAGTCCAAAAAATTCGCTCAACTGGAAATTCCAAACCTTCTATGATTTTTTCACTCAGTCTAGCAGATAAAAGTGCTCCCATAAGTTCTAATCTAGGTAAAGAGAGCATCTTTAACGGCGCAACTCGTCCTTTAGAGGCAACAAAACTAGTAATGATGTTTCCATCGTTTAGCTTTACTCTTAGATAGGCAACCGTTCC